GGGGCCGGGGAGCGGGCGCTGCCCAGCGGCCACAGGGGCCTGTGTGACCCCACTGTGGCCCTGTTGGAAGCAGGAGACCTTGTTCTGTGGGGTCAGGGTGAGCGTGACGGATCCTGGACAATGTGATGGAGCCTGGGTGTTGTGAGGGACACCGGCTGACATGAGGGACCCCAGCTGATGCGATGGACCCCGGCCGATGGGATGGACTCTGGATATCTTGGTGGACCCTGGCTGATGTGACAGATCCCAGCTGATGTGATGGATCCCGGCCGATGTGATGGACTCCGGATGTCATGGTGGACCCTGGCTGATGTGATAGATCCTGGCTGATGTGATGGATCCCAGCTGACATGATGTTTCATGGATGATGTGATGGACCCTGGCTGATGTGATGGACCCCTGCTGATGTGATGGACCCTGGCCAATGTGATGGATTCTTTTGCATCCCTCTTCCAGCAGCAACTGGCAGCAACACTCAGGAGTAACCAAAGCTGGGCCTGCATGGAGCAACCCAGCCGTATCCTTCCTGGCAGGGCCCTGCCATGCTCCCTCCCACAGTGCTGGGCCCAGCCATGCCAGTGCTCAGGTGCCGTTGGCCAGGTCCTTGCCCCCGGGGCAGGCACGGAGCAGGAGTTTGCAGGTCTGGGCGAGAGCTAAAACCACGGAGCTGGCTCCTAAACATCTCTGCTGCTGCCGCCATGGACGGAAGGATGCCCAGGGCTAACCCCAGACTCACGGCATAGACAGAGCCCGGGCAGACTCACCCCACCCTTGAACCGAAGATGCACACTCAATGCTAATTTACGTTAAACTTAGAAAAAAACCTTATCCCTTGCTTTCACCACATTCTGCCCCAAATCCACAGCCACGCTGCTGCCTCACTGAGCTGCTTAAGCACCCTGGGGCAAACGAAGCCTTCAAGAGTTTCAAGAGCCCCAAAGGCTCCGGGACGCGGGACTCAAATGCTGCTGTGACCCCCGTGGCTGGGTGTGGTTGCTTCTTGCGCAGGTTAGCTCCAAGCCCAGAGCAAAAAAGGTGTCAGAAAGCCCAAGTCAGCGCGCTCTGCTAAATATAACAACAAGAGGTGTGAAAACTGATTAAACCCACTGCTGGGTCACAGGGGTATTGGTTTTTGTGAAAGCAGCAGCGTGGGAAGGATCAGTAATTTGACACATACTCCAAACCCAAATGTTTTAATGCCCCGAGTGAAAAAAACCCCTAATTTCCTGTAAAATGGGAGGTTTCTTCCCCTCCATCAATTGATCACACGTCACCCTTTTTGCGTAAATGCTCAAACTTACTGGGATTTCCCAAATTATTCTGATTACAACCTTCAGAAAAAGTCTTTGGAACCAGCAGCCACTGAACTGCACCACATGGACAGGCAAGGTCCCATACACTGGTAAATGGGGCAAAACTGGTGGCAAGAGGTGGCCAGTTCCCTCCCCGAGCAAGAGCAAGGGTGACGGGCAGAGCCGGGGGGGGAAGCTGGAGCTTCCCCAGAGGGGGAATGGGGGGAGTAAAGAGTGAGGGCAGGCTGAGGAGTTGCAGGGGAACGTGGGCCAGGCAGCAGATGCTGAGCTTGGACTAGGGGTGGGCGCAAGCACAGGCCTAGCTTTGCTCCAGGTTTGGGAAGGAGAGCCTGGGACTGGGGAAAGGCTCCGCGGAACCACGAGCTCAGCCTCTGCTCTCGCTTTTCGAGCAGTTCTCACCAAACCAGAGAACATCGTGGCACCAGGTATAGCTGGGGCATCCCCACCTCGGCTCCCCAGTCCCCTCCCGGCCCCTCTGCTCCCCACACCCCAAGGAGTGAAGAGGACGAGGAGTACACAAAGAGCTTCTGCGCACCCCTCAGCGCTGTGGAGCACCAACCCCAGCCCGCAAAGAGGACAAAGCAGCAGAGGAAACCATGAGCGCAGGACAAGAGGTACCAGGGAAAAGTTACTCCCTGCCCCTCTCTGCAAAGAGCTGCAGTGCTTAAAGCGAGTGGGGTGGGGGGGGTGGAGAGGGGGTGGTCACCTCCAACTCACGGCACAGAAGACGGGAGGCTATGGGTGCTACGAGTTCGTATGGGCTCCAAAGGGGTTGAGATGTGCTCAAAGAGGCAGGGGGGAAATCCAAAGAGCCCCAAATCCCAGACTCCAGGAGCGATGGCAATAGTGGGAAGCAGTGATAGGTACCTGGGGGCTCTGGCTCTTTGCTTTCCCGGTGTATCTGCTGCTCTGAGCAGCCGCAGGAAGCCTCT